TATTTTATTCTGTATACATATCTTGGAGTTGTTTTTGTGCTAATACACATAGAGATAGCTTGTTCTTTTAGATCCTCATTAAAACATTCTCTGGATGAAGACACATGGATCCCACGTGGTTCACAATGTCCAGGCATTGTGTGCAGTGATGAATAGCAGGAGTCCTGGCCATCATCCCTTGTGTCAGCCTCAGTTTTAGTGGAAATGCTTCTGTTGTTTACTGTCAATCATGATGTTTACTGGAATTTCCTTACTTGATGCCTCTAATTTTTTTTTTAGCATGATTTTTAGTTATTAAATAATTTCTTAAAAGATTAATGCTTTCATAATTTTTTTCTATTTTAATTTATTAAATAATGTAGAATATTAATAAATTTTATAATCTTCAAGCATTGTTTTATTATTGGATAAACTCCACTTGGCTTATGTTTAAATGGACATTTAAATGGACAAAATTTTGATATTTACATACAGGTATTTAGTGGAAAAGGTAAAGTTTTCTATTTTCATTTTTGTATTTTTTTAACTGGGCTAGTACAGAGTAATGTTGACAACAACCTAATTAAAAATAGGTACAATTTCAGGGGCGCCTGGGTGGCTCAGTCGTTAAGGGTCTGCCTTCAACTCAGGTCATGATCCCAGGGTCCTGGGATCGAGCCCCGCATCGGGCTCCCCGCTCAGCGGGAAGCCTGCTTCTCCCTCTCCCACTCCCCCTGCTTGTGTTCGCTCTCTCACTGTGTCTCTCTCTGTCAAATAAATAAATAAAATCTTTAAGAAAAAAAAGTACAATTTCTAAATGTCCATTTTACCAAAAATACTGAAATACACGAGTAAAAAAAAAAAGATATATTTAAAAAAAATTCATCCCAAAAATCTGTCTGAAAGGACTACTTTTACTGAAATTGTGTTTATGTGTGTGTGGTTGTATGCGAGCAGAAGCCTATGGTGTGTATAAAAGATGCATTGTTTCATAAATAACTTTTATATTTATTTTAAGCTTTGAAAATTGTTTTTACGAATTTTTCGTGGCCTTAAATTTTTTTCTATACTAACTCATTAGTGAATTAATAGTGGTAACAATAATAAAATACTACATATATGCATAGATAATGACATTTTGTGCAGGTCCCTGTTTTTAGCTTTGAACTTGTTTCATGTTTTCTCACTTAGGAAACCCGTTAAAAGTAGAGAACTACTTTTAACACTGTATCTGTCACTTAACTGTGTGATTCTTCAGGTTCAATTCTAAGTTCAGAACACCTGGTTGAGGTGCCGGCTCTGCCATTTCTTAGTTATCTGACCCGAGGCTAGTTTCTTAGCGTCTCTGTGACAGTTGCCTCCTCTATAAGGTGGACACAGATATTTCTCTAATATTATTACACAAAATAATACGCATTTGAGTAATGTTTAGCACATCATGAATGTTTAAAAACTTTTTGTTTCTGCCATTATAATCGTCATCACATTCTTACATTTTAAGCTTTCTTAAAAGGCACTGTCAACTTTGTAATCTTTAAAGACACTACTCATAGTGTAGCTCATCAGAGAATAATTGGTGTGTAAAATGTATTATCTAGCACTTCTATATAGTCCGTCTTGTGATGCATTTTTTATTTATATATTTTATTGTTCACAAAATTGTGGAATGCACCGTGATTTTGTGGATTTATGTATTCTGGTTGAGAAGTATAATAACACAAAATTAGGGATATATGATTTGCTCAAAATGACCTTATACTGATTTTTCACCACAGCCAAATCAATCCTCACACCGCTCTCCTATAATTTGTGTGAAGATAAGAATTCTCCCTGTGGTCTCTTAGTTTAATGTGTTTTTCGTTACAGGTGCTGTTGACCTTCAGGGATGTGGCCATAGAATTCTCTCAGGAGGAGTGGGAGTGCCTGGACCCTGCTCAGAGGGCCTTGTACAAGGACGTGATGTTGGAGAACTATAGGAACCTGGTCTCCCTGGGTGAGGATAATGTCCCTCTAAATGTTGGGATCTGCCCTAGTGAGTTTCTTGGGGGCCCCTGCCCTACTAGACTGTGATTGAAGCTATATTGACTCTGAATTGAAAGCTTCATGAGGTGGCACCTGGACTTTCATCTCCTCCTTTCTTCAGACGATCTGCCTACTCCTCACTAGATTAGTGTTGCTTTTACCACTTGAGTAATCACAAAACCTTGTAGCAAAACTTTAAAGTATTGGATTCCCTGGTTTTACTCCCGTGCATTTGAGTCAGTAATTCCAGAAGAGAGCTAGATGTCTGTATATGTAAAATATTTCCTAAGCCAGTCAGTGGACGAAATTAGTGTAGACCCATCTGTAACATCTTCCGTCCTCTGCTGAACAAAGGGCTGGGATTATATTCTGGAAAAGCCCCAGCACGTAACTCTCCTTTTTTATGAGCAGGAATCTCTCTGACCTGAACGTTATCTCCATTTTGGAGCAAGGGACAGAGCCGAGGGCTGTGGAGGGTGAGGTGAAAGTAGAGAAAAAACCAAGTGGGTGGGACTATATCAAAGATGTGAACACTGGTAACAGCTGAGATGGTCAGAGATGAAACTGCTTCATCAAATATTGTTTGAGAAACATTCCCCAAAGAGGAGAGGTCTAGGAGAAAAGAAAAGTACTTGTGAGCACTCAAAGGAAATCTCCCCCATTACTCTGTTCTGCAGACATGACATTCCAGTGGCAGTCTTTATCATGACCTGCAACACTGTTATCTGGCTGCTGTGACCTTTTTGGTCCCTTGGCTTTGAGAGGGATGAGAAGGGCTGTTTCATAGGGGTCCTCTTTTCCTCTGGTCTCTCCTTCCATACTTGATGCCATCTGATTCCAGCTGATCCATCAGTTCCTCCACAGTCCTGACTCCAGGACCTGTCCGGGTTTCATCCTCAGTTCCTGTGTTTGGGAGATAGGAAAACATTGGCTCCTCCTCCATTGCACTTGGGGCCCTAAGGCTGCATGGGATTGTCTCAAGGCCTCCTAGCCATTTTGTCAGGCCTGCTTTTGCCACACATCAAGAGTATAACCAGGCAATGGGGTGGATCTTCTGAGATGGTTAGTCAGCAGTACTCTACAGACAGTGGACAGAGAGGTTGTCTCTTGGAAACCCAGTCCTACATGGGGAGCATCTCTTGGTTTTCTCAAAGACCCTGCAAAATCGAACCCCATTGCTTTACTTCTGTTATCTTGCCTTATTCTCCTTCCTGCGCTCTGCCTAGGCTAGTGATGCAGACAAAATTTGGCTCGGACAGGTTTTATATTTTCCTAAGTCTGCAATTTTGCTTTTGAAACATGTTTTCCTAGGGTCTGAAATATCCTCTTTTTCTGCTGTGATAACCCACTTTTAGTTGATGGACAACTTCTGGTGGACTTATCTGTGGAGGGGGTTTATTGGGTAACAAAATTTTTGAAGAACACTTTGATTAATGTACTACAGTGCTGTCCTGCTGCTTACAGAAGTGCCCAGTTAAGCCACTGAGTGGCGTGGTCAGCAAGTCCGAGGGAGGCTGAGATAGAAAGTATCAGGAGAGTCTGACTGATGAGTGATTGTAGTTCTCTTTCTGCTCTTTGTGGAGTGTCACAGAGTCTCTCAAGGGCAGTGTGGCAATGTTGATCAAATATCTAATGATTATTCCCTTTGAGCCAGCAATCATAGATGTACGAACTTATCCCAAGGAGAACATTGTTGCAATCGTTTATCTGTGAGGCTTTGACCAAACTATGGTTTGTGCCAAATTGTTCACCCGCTGCATGCAACAGTGTTCTTTCCTCCAAACAAATATGATTGTGATGCATATGAGGGAACTTACGAAGTTGAATGATGTTTCTTTTTTCTTTTTTTTTTTTAATTCCAGGATAGTTATCATACAGTGTTATATTAGTTTCAGGTGTACAATATTATGCCTCCATTTTTAAATTCTAATTTGTTATGTTTAAACTACTACAGTTTTCATCATGTACATTTCCATGAATTAAAAATGAACTTTAAAAAATTTAATCATTAATTACATATTTTTGATGACACTCAGAATTCTGTTTTATAGCTCTGGTTTGTGGGCCGCTGGATCAAGGAGTAAATATTTTAAAATATATATTACAAGATTTGCTTCTTGAGTGTTGATGGTTATGGCTCAGCAACAGTTTCCCCAAAACCTATTCAAACTCCTGAATTTTGTGAAAAAATTATCTTAGTCCCTTTATTTCTCTTTCACGTGATTTACCTATTATTAAAGTAGCTCTTTCTCAGATTGATTGGATTTGTAAAATTGGGAGTATTGGATATCTTTTTTTTTTTTTTAAGATTTTATTTATTTATTTGAAAGAGAGAGAAACAGCATGAGAGGGGAGAGGGTCAGAGGGAGAAGCAGGCTCCCTGCTGAGCCAGGAGCCCGATGTGGGACTCGATCCCAGGACTCTGGGATCATGACCTGAGCCGAAGGCAGTCGCTTAACCAACTGAGCCACCCAGGCGCCTGGGAATATTGGGTATCTTGAGAAAATATTTTTTTAATTAAATTACTGTGTTCATCCCAGAAATCATTAAATTGATTTGCCATAATTTGTTATATAGGATATCTTGCTTTTTCTATAGTATATTTTAAGTTTTCTAAATATAACTTCTTGGATTTTATTTGAATTTTACTGACTTTTTGTATTTTGGTACAAAATCCTTTATTCTGATAATTAATTTCCCTGTCTAGATTCATCATGTACACGTCTTGGTATACTAAACTAGTATTTGACATTCTCACTGTATTTTATTGGGAAGTTAGACAATCTCTTCCACTCCATGTACATCCTCACCACTATTGCTTATAACTCGTTGTGTTTTCCACAAAATTTTTCATGTTCTGGAAATTACATTCTTCAGTTAACACTTGAAGTCTGTTTTGATCTTCATCTTTTAAACTGGGTTCCATAAAAAGTTCACCTGGTCCTTGTTGACGCACATGTCAGTACTCTCCTGCTCTCTGACCACAGCCAACTCCTTATGTTACTGGCCATCTCTGTGCACATCTAACTCCTGCATGGCACTGCCAAAAGCTGCTCCTGCAGTCCCCTTCTGCTAACACTGCCCTTCAGTAAAATCCATTCCTCACTGTGTGTCATTAAGTTATTTTCCCTTTGAGGTTGCCTATGTTGTGGTGATAGTTAACAAAGTCAGAATTTATTGATTTTGGATAAGTACACATAACTTCCATTGATCCACAATAATGACTATATATCCACTTATATATGGTAAGACCGTCCCTCACCTCATGTCTCCTTATGCCAGCAATTGTGTGGAGAGATCCAAATATATGAGTTCAGATAATTAGAGGAGGCTGCAAGAGAAGCTCTATTATTATTTTTTTAAAGATTTATTTATTTGAGAGAGAGAAAGAGGAAGAGAGAGCATGAGCAGGAGGGGCAGAGGGAGAGGAAGACTCTCAAGCAGACTCTGCAGTGAGCATGGAGCCCGACGTGCAGCTCAATCCCAGGATCCTGATATCATGACTTGAGCTGAAACCAAGAGTTGGATGCTTAACCAGCTGTGCCACCCGGGCACCCCAAGAAACACTATCATTTTTATATAACAAACAAGGACACTTAGCCTCAAAAAGGTTAGCACGCCAAATTGGTAAATTTCTATTTATAAAACATTATGTAATTAATAATTTGGTTGGTATGTTATTTCTTTTTAGCTAATCTATCCACATCTCCCCCAAAGTTCAGACCTTGACAAAACCTGCTAACTTTGTTTCCCTCCAACAAACTCTTTGTCCTCCCCACCAGGGATTCATCATCTTGCATCCATGTCACTCTCCATTGCTGAATTCTTGACAGACTTTAATGGCATCTGTATGTGTATGTAGAGTGAGTTCATCCATTCTCCCCTTGATGGCCATGTCCAGACTTTTGCTTGCCTTTTAAGAACACTTTTTACATGTCTCATGGAATATATATGTAGGACTCTCTTGAGTAAATGCTTATAAATAGAAAGCCCAGGATATCCTATTTGAGAAATTTCAGGGAAGATGTTAGAATAGAGGTAAACCTGTATTCCTTCCACCGTATCATGCTAATTGCCTTCCTCATTGCTTCCATTCTCTCCTGTCCCCCCACACCCATAGTACATTTCCCACAGAATGGGTCAGTATTGTGCCACTTGCCCAGTTCATGTCTTCTAAGATAAAGATTTTTACTGCCCTAGTGCAATTGTATTCCCATAAATTTGCAAGTACAGGCTCTGTTCTTCCACCTTCCCTCATACTGTTCATTGATCTGGATGAAGCACACTGTTTCCTCCTTAGCCTATTAATTTTGAGCCCTTGGACCCCCAAGTCTCCTCAGCGCCCCCTATCCTTACCCCTTCTGCATTTTATAAAGATCCCTTCTCTTCCAGAGGACAGCTAGTTCAGGATAGCACCATGCCTGGTTACTGTCTAAATCAACACATTCAGGAAGTGATGACTCAGATGCTCTTATCCAGGTGGGATGAGTCAGTAATGATATTAGTAACACAACTCAATTCCTGTAGTTTTCTTGAAGCATTTCCCTGTATGCTGGTGGGGTTTGCTATGACCTTTGCTCACTTCCTGAGTGGGTAGTAATGTATAGTGCTCAAGAACATGTGGTCTGAGCCTGCAGGCCCAGGTTCAAATTTTGGCTTTCACATTTTTTTCTGTGTGAATTAGTGTTGGGTACATAAACACGATGGGCCCGTTGTTTTTATCTGAAATATGATGATGTGTCTTGAGAATATTTTAAATATGTTAATGCTGTTAGATTTTGAACATTGTATAACATATAGCAAGTACTGGAAATTTACCTTTCTTTACTAATACTTCTTGACCTCCTCCTATGTTTAATATGTGATTGACCTTTGTCTACATTATATTATGTTTGTATTCATTTTTTAATTTGTTTCATCTCAATATTGTTTGTCTTAGTAAATTTTCAAGGCACATACTCTGTAGTATATGTATTCTGTGACTGCAGGATCGCATTATTAAAGGCTGCTTCACAGTTAGAAAATAGCTCTGTTGGAATACAGTGGCACGAAATTCATATCTTTCA